CCACAATGTTTTTCATGTGAAAAAAGATTTCATAAGAGTGTGTATCAATGAAATCTTAATTTAAAAAAAAGTTTGAGTTTCTGTTCTTTAAATTGATCAATTTTATGATTAGGAAATCATTCTATTATAGAATGCTAGCAATAATAGCTGGTGAACTCATACTAGAAGATCTCCTTTATGAAAAAGCAATAAAGAAACTTTTGTTTGGCCTTAGTATCAGGAGCAGCTGTGGCTCTTCTAAATAACTGGTCACTTTTTATCATATAGCCAATCTGAAATGTTTAAAGTGACCAGCTTACCCCTTTTGCTAAAAATCTTAGAGCCAAATGTGAAGCCTACTTAGGAGAAATACATGGTTACTTTTGTGGTATACATTTTTTATTGGCGTTATTCATGGTTCCATACTATATTCCTATGGTTTTCTTTCCTTTTCCGCACAAAACTGTTGTTTGCTATTTTGTATCATCTGCAAATGTGCTTCATTCCCTTTGGAACAAGGCAGGTTATCAGTGAATACAGTATAACACTTTTAAAGGATTTTTTTTCTTTTTAAAAATACATTTTTTTTTTTGGTTTTATTTCACTCTAATTTAATGCATTGCAGTCTGAGTGAAAGTCCTGATCCTGCATTCCAGCTTCTGCCACTTACTGGTTATGTGACTTTGGACCAGTTATTGAACCTACAAAATGGGAGTAATAATAATTTTCACAGGATAACTCTGAAGATTATTATCCAAAGGATAGCTTCATTAGCAATTACCACATAGAAAGCTTAATTTAAAAAGGGGAAAATTAGAAAACCTACTCAGCAAAAAGAACTGGATGCTTTTGTGAGATTTTAAGGACATAAAGCATATTAAAACTATTTTATTAAGATACCATAAAACCTCAGCAAAGCTGTTTAGTAGGGAAATATGGGGAAATATTTAATTTTAGTATAAGTGAACTATCTTTAGTTTGGACTACATTTACCCATTCTTACAACATCAACCAGAACATATCACCATCAAGAATAAGTGAAAACACACAATCTGTACTCCAAAAACATTTTCCTATCAGCTTTTTAGTATGCATTTTCCCATGAAACAATACTATAAATTGTGACTTCAAAGGATCCAGAGGACACTAGTCAGCTGGTAATTTAGCTTCTATAATGCAGAAGTATAATTTGGATTATACTTCATGTCTATATCTATGGGAGTTCTGAGTATAGAGAATATTTTCTTTGGTTTCTAAACAAAAGTGATTTTCTACCTTTTCCTACTTATCCTTCCTGGCGTTTAGAAAATAATCGTTGTCTTTAGTGGTCGGCAGCTATAAGCAAATAGACCTATGTTGGAAAGTAGATGGCTTATTCATTCATAGAACCAACAATTTCCTTTTATGTTTCTAACTCAAATGATCCTGATGCCCAATCTGCGTGACAAATTTCTCATTTTTCAAAACCCAGCCCAGATGCTGTTACCATCTTATCCCTGGCATCTTTCAGAGGAGGCTATATGGCATATGGTGGATAACTGTGTGGGTGGGGTTGAAGTTATACAGTCTGAGCTAACATCCTACTTTTATCACTGACTAGTGTATGTCCATGGGGAGTTATGATACCCAGAACATTAGTTTTATTATATATAAAACATGAATAATAATGATGCTATCTACTTCATAGGTAGTGAAGATTAAATGTAATAATGGAAGTGTACCACTTAATAGTGTTTGGCACAGAGCAACTGTTAAATGAATGGTAGCTACTATAATGCTATACTTTTATGTATTGCAATTTGTCTATCTGTATATCTATCTATACCTATCTCTGTTGATAGACTGTGAACCCCTTGAGGCTATGGATTGTATTTCAACTTTATCTTCAGTTCTGAACACGGTACCTAGTATATAGAAGGTGCTGTGATAGATGGGTGGGAGGGTAGTAGGTGGGGCAAATGGGATAAGAAACACAATTGAATTGGGACCAGGTTCTTTTCTATGTATGCTGTGAGGACAGGATATAGGGATAGGGGAGGATTTCACCACAGCTCTTGCCAGGTCTTGAGCCTCAAGGGTTTCCACAATGGCTTATATGAAAGTCTTGCAGGATATAAGAGGCTCCAAATTAAGCAATTTCTATGAGAAGTAGGTAAAATTAGAAGCAAGTATTAGTTAGGTGGTGAGGGTAGGAACTGAAAGGGTTGGGAGTCAGAAAAGGCACTTGAAAGGATCACAGAAAGCTGCAGGAAGTGAAGATTAATTTTCATTTGCAAAGTTAACAGGGACAGAGAGGGAACTTTTTGCAGCTATGTCAACTGCAGAATTCACTCACTGGATGTATGCAAATACATACATCAGGAAGGGATGACACAGTTAAAATATTGTCATTAACTGCCATTTTTTAGATTTTAAATACTGATGACATGCTAGTAATCTAATGTCTCTGCACAGGAAAATAATAGGCCAAACTGGATTCAATCCTGGCTCAGGCATTTACTACTTGCATAACCCTGGGCAAGTTATTTAATCATTGTGAGTGCGTTTCTATATCCATCCAACTGAGAAAACCACTATGATGTGAGATTATTATGAGGGTTGATAATAATAAATATGAAGTGTCTGACACAACACTTGGCCAACAGAGTCTAATCAATAAATACTATTATTGCTATTTTATTGATCAACAACATATTCAACCATTCATAAAAAAATAACTTGCTTAATCCTCTTCATTATTCATTTAGCTGACTATACTAAGTGGTCACAATTGTAACATGTACAACACTGCTGTGTCTTCAGGAAGATGAATCTATAAAGTATGTCTCAATATTTCCCTCAACATTTCAAGAATGACAAAATCAGCTAACAAAATGATCATTAATAGTCATATGCTCAAATACAACATTAACAGTTGAAAGTTAATTTTTATGTTGGAAGCTAAAGATTCTGGTAAATTCTAGCATACAGGCAAAAGTTAAGTTGGAGAGACTATTCTGACTTCAGTTATCCCCCACCCCCCACCCCACTGAGAAGTGCTATATCACAAGAATGAAGAAAATCATTAGAATAAAAAAGTGACACCTTATTTAACCCTCTTAAGAAACTAGTCCAATAAATAGTTTCAAAAGCTTTGAAACAGGTAAATGTATTATGGGATCTTAACCTAAAGACCGTGTAATGGTTCTATATTATCTAGCAAATGTAATCTCTTCTAGTTTTGGAGATTCACCAAAATCTAGTTCAATTCAATGTACTATTTCCCCAAACACAGTCATATTAATTAAGTGAATCCCCAAATCCCATTCTTACTCTCATCTTGTGCTCCTGTGTGGCCCCAGATGTACCTCTCTCTGTACCTCATGGGCTCTTCTCTGCCATGTTTTCTGACTGGGGCCCGCATAAACCCAGCACCCTGGCCTACTCTGAAGTATACAGTTAGTGCCTCATGATCACAAGCTATTCTGATTTTTCATGGCACAATCTCTTTATTTTAGCAGTAAAAAAAATTCTACCCTATTAATTTTCTTTTCATGTTTGTGTAGGATCAAAAACTGCTTTCTCAGGCCACAGATAAAAAACTGACATTAAAGTTAAACCTCATGTGAACTATTTTCTGCTGGTCCTGATGAGGAAGAAGTCATTATTTTTAGTTAAGGTACAGGATAGACAAAATGAATGTCTGTTGACTGATTTTTAGACTAGTCTTAGAAATAAAGTCAAACCATATACAATTTTCTCAATTCAGCAACATTAAAACTTCATTATCACTGTAAGTCAAAATTACAAATGGGAGACTGCTTTACTTCAGTCATAATATTCTTTGCAAAAACCTTTGACCACAAGAAACAATTCTTAGGGTTCTCAAAAGAATAAGGCTTTCTAGAACATACTTATTTATACCTTCATACATGGCTATTAGATCCTAATAGGTTATTAAACAAATACACAAAAATAAAGATTATATATGATCTTGTATCCCTCAAATGTTATCATGTTTGAAAATCAGTATTTACAGGAATAACCCTCAAAATCTCAGGACAAATTAAACCACATCTAAGATTTATTATTTTTGTTAATGTTTTGTTTCTTCATCCAGAATTTACTTAGATTGACTACCTTCTGGAGGTATTACCCAAAACACCAGGCTTTAACTGAAGGATGTAATACCAGGAAAGGGTAATATCCAAACTTTTTCCTTTGAAGTTTAAATTAATTTAGCAGTCAAAAGTTTCTTTCTTAACAATGAGGTTTATGTTATCCATTCAAATCTCATCACTGTGAATAAACATTATTGTACAAATAATTTAAGATAAGAAACATGCTTTTCCACTCATGTTTAACCAGGTATTTATCATAAGAAAATAATAAAGGACATGGAAATTGACCTAGAGCCACCTTAACAAAAAAGTTAACAAACCTTAACAGAACACCTCTAATCAAAACAAATTAAATCATTTAAGTGACTTGGTAGAGTACATAGTAATACCATCTAAAAATTTCTTGAGTTGAACCTCAGAGGTTCAAGGTAGTGCCAGTTTAAAAAGTGTTCAGATACTAAGAAATCTGTTAACTGATATTAGGCAAGTATCCTTTTTTGCAATCTCAGTAATATCACATGAAGGGAAAAAGAAGCCAAGAGTAAAAAGACTTCCCTCTATTCACAACGGTAAATACTACAAATCTATTCTATAGGTATGAAGAAAATTTTAGTTTCACTGAAGCAACTTAGACACCTAGACAAACTATCAAGGGTCCTCAGATCACAATTTAAAAAACCTTGCTATGTAAATATTAATTGCTCATTTTAGATCATGATGAAAATATTTACAGAAAACAAACCTTTAATATTGGAACAGAAAAATTCCTGTTAAGAAGACAATCTCACAAAATATTATTATAGTCAAGGATTCACAGAAAATATTTATCATCAAAGAGTCAGTCATAACCAGCAACAAAGTATTGTTACAATACAGAGGAAGGAAGAAAGAAATATGTGAAGATCAAAATTTATCACTTACCTCATGATTCAGCTCTGCTATCTGATCTTTCAGTTCCCTAATATACTGGTTAGAATCAGACTTGTTAAGCTGTCCTTGAAGCTTTCCTTCTTCTTTCTGTTTTGTGATAATACAATAAAGCAAATACAAGAGAATTTTCACATCATGTACTCGAATATTTGAAGATATACAAGCATCCTTTAGTTGGCTAGACTGAACAAATCTGCCTCTGAAAGATAGTTCACAGTAAACTATACTGAATATTTCTAAATAATACTTAATGAAACTTTACAATAAATACAATTTTCAAAATGTACCTTCTGACTCTTAGAAATCAATGTGAATGGGTGTGCTAGTGAAAAAATTATCCTAGAATTTCAAAGCCATTTATCTCTTAATTTTGAGGGCTATTGATTTTCTATCCATACCACAAGAGATTCACTGCTTAGTTGACAGGTGGTGAGCCTACGGTGGGAATCCGCTTTTGCTAGGGGATCAGAGAAGCCACTCTTAAAAGGGGAGGGCAGATCTGGATCTCTTGTTTAATTAGCTCAGTAATGTGTGATGGGAGATATAGATATATAGCTGATTAAAAGGTGCTCCAATCCTAAGAACTAGTTCCAGAACTGTGTTGGGACCCTTTTCTAGGGATACAGATTGGGAAGGGGAGGAGCTGCCTTTTTCTTATACCACCTGAAAACAAATGTTTTTTAAGATAAAGGACTTATTAGAGAGTGAAAACAGACTTGTTTTTGTTATCTCCAGATTATTTGTAATTAGGAAGCCATGTGTTAGTGCTTAAAATATGAAGAAGCTCTGATCCACAGAAATCTACTGAAACTACTGAAAACTGATGCCAAAATAGTACCAGTTTACTTTTAACAGTCACCAGCCACTTGGTTTCCTTCCATAGAGGCAACCACTGTTAACAGTTTTTTAATGCAGTTTTCCCATAATTTATACACATATCATCAACTGCACATGTATACACACATATTTTTACTCATACTAGGCACTATACACAATTCTGCACTTGCTATTATTTCTCAAGAACACAACTTGAAGATCATTATCAGTACATACAGAGCAGAAAGATATATTTTGATTTGACAGAACTTTGAAGTTCCTGTAAAAGTTATCTCACTGTTATCTGAATATTTACAGGCTTTTAAAACGTAGGTTTTAAAATGTGCCGTAGGTCCTGTACAATTACCTTGAGGGTAATGGGTTGCAGTGAAGAGCACTTTTGAATGTGGAGATTCCTACTGCTATCTTTCCATTTACAGCAAGTAGGGACCTTGGATATCATCTGATTTGGTTCTCTGACATCAAAGTCCACCCACTATCTTCCTTCTGCACACCCTCCTAACATGCATGGCAGAAAGAACTAACTATAACTGCTCTAGCCACAGAAAGGGTAGCTCCCCTGTAGAGTCAGGGCACGATTCCAAGAGGACTGCTCTTCTGCATTTACTGTCCCTGCCACGTCTACTGTAATCTTATGTACACTTAGTTTATTCTTCAAACCACTTAATAAGTTATTCCTCTAAGCCTCCTCCTCCCTGCTTTATTTTCTTTTGGTTATTTTTCTTTTGGTAACCTGCGTTAAAAAACCTTTAATGGGAATATGGCCTACAGAAGCAGTCTGATGTAAATAATATTTGTATAGATGTAAAAGAACATCTATAATTTCCACAGGCTTTAAATCTTTTCTTACATACTTAGATACATGAATATCAGATATAATCACCTAAGCAAAGAACTGTTTAACAATTACTGTATTCCAAATGTGCTAGGCTTCTTAAATATACATAATAGACACCTTATGATTTTAGCCATCAGCCTATAATTTAAGGATGAAAACGTTTTGAATACTTACTTAGAAATATTAGTTCAATGGCCAGAGAAGGGCAGAATCAACATAAAAGGCAGAGATATTAGGTCAGAGTCTTAAGCAAACCATCTCACAAGGCTTGCCTACCTACTTTTCAATTTTACAAACCAATGAAATCCCTTTATTATTTAAACCAGTTTGAATATGGGTTTCTGCCACTTGCATTAAAATGATAATAGCTAATTATCTTGAGCACTTATCAGACCTTCTCAAGTGAGGCTCCCCAAAGTGATTAAGCCCTAACACCTAGAGCATCGCTGTATGGAGATTGAATTTAATCTCCTATGTATCTAAAATGGTGCTATATACTATCTGGAGAAGAACTGAGAAAATAATTACTGAAATTAATTCTCTTGGGGAGTCCTGGTGGAAAAAAACTGGGCTTTACAATATGTGAGGAATTGTTCTAAGCCCTATACATGTAATAATCACACCAACCATGTGTAACAGACATGTACTTATGTCTGCATCTTATTTTTAACCACTCTACTTTTTAAATGAAATTTTCAAAGGCACAGAACAAAAACAAAAGAATGAATGAATCCATCACCCAAATTCAGTCTGTTTGATAACTAGCTCATCCTAAGATTTTCCTTGGCTCTAGACCTACTCCATCTCAGTCCTGTATATATACCCAGAACGGGAAAGGATGATGTCAAACAGAAGGGAATGAGTAGTGAGTGAAGCAAGAAGGAAGAGAAGGTAGAATGCAGGAAAGAGAAAAAACTACATGGAGGTAGAATATTCACTGAAGTGAAATAAATGAAACCATTTATTCTTGCAGAATGTCTTTTCCAAATTTGATACGTGAAATGAGAAATGGCAGCAGCAACTGAGTAAGCAGATACACTTCAAAGGAATGAACTGATGAAAATTACTCATTTGGGGATTTGTGTTAGTTGTCCTTTTTTGGTGGCCTTTAATTTTAGTAAAACATTATATTAATTCCCTTGAAATAGAAAGTGTAATAGACTACTAAGAAAAAATCCTTTCTATGAGATGGAAAGGCTAGATGTCTGCAGTTTGATGTCAGATTTGGGAAAGTTACCTTTAAATCTGGTCCCCAAAGAAGGCAAAGTTCTTGAGGATTTTGGACACTCCAAAGCAGTGATATCATGTAGGATAAAATGAAATTTTCAGGACAAATAAAATGACAAAGCCAAGATAAGCTCTAATGTTGTAAGACAGAAGTTTAAGAATGCAGGTTTGAAAGGTTATAGAATCATCAGTAAAATAAATAATACCAAATCTTTCCTATAGGAAAACTTGCACAAAAAAAGTTTGGCAAGATAGGAATCATTACATCTGTTTCACGAAAAGCAACCAAGTAACTCCAAAGATCTGTTTCCTCCAAAGGCGGCCTTAGTAGGTTTAGCTAAGGACTTTGTTATAGCACCTTGATTTCTTTGGAGCAAAGACAGTATTAAATGAATAACAGGCCAGTTAAGAAATTTTACTTTTTTTACAAGTGGAATGTTTAAAAAAAATTCCTGAAAAATACTTACGAAAATCAGATAAGCCCTCTAGGTTTTATGACTAAAAAACCACTTGTTTCTTGACTTTCCATTCATTATAGAAAAAAAGGCATAATTTCAAAAAGAAAACCTATGTATTTGATTAAATCCACTTGTACGTAGCTGTTCTTTTTAGACATAAATACTTTATAAAGCTTAATATTAGGTTTCTTCTGCAAAATTTTTATATACAAAATCAGACTATGATGCCAATTAAACCATTGCTTCTGAGGATCTCCCCACCCCCTGACCTCAGCACCCCTAATAACTTGCAAGGCACACTGGCTAAACTGAGGAAACAGGAAGGTAATGAAGTAGCTCCAAGCTCTAACAGACAATCACATAGTAGTGTAGGGGGGTGAATGACATACCAGTTGGGAAGCTCTGCATGGGGTATTGTGATTCAATAGTCTACTTTAAAAGGGAAGACAGCTGACATTTTAACAATAGAAGTAAAAAGTGAGATGTCCTAAATGCTATTTAATAATTTTAAATGTATAAATTTTTAATCTTTTATCTGTGATTTTTATGTTCTACAAATGGGCTCTTATTTAAATATGTTGAATACAAAGCCTTTTAGGATTCTTTTTAAACATAACTGAATAACTATATATTTACAGCACACACATACACAAAACACCCAAAACCAAACCCAGTTAACTATTATATTCTAAGAAGTGGATATCGATTTAATTTCACTTCTGAGATAATTCATTCAATTGTCTATGTTTGATAATTTTTTTGCATAAATTTTTATAGCTTTCTATTTTCAAATAATGTCCACATGGTTCTTTCTGATAAGCAGGTGGGAAAATGTTGGCTACACTAATAAATTTACTAGGAACCTGTATTTTCTTGACATTTTTTTTTTGGTCTAGCTGATAACAGATAGCGTTAACTGGTTTCTTAAGCAAAACTAATTAGGTAAGCAACAAATTTAAAGTAAAAGAGATCCAACACATCAACAATTTTGGTATCCTGAGAATTTAACTGAACAGACTTTACATACATACCTTTTGTCACACAATAAATCAAACTTTATATTAAGGGAACATAAAATAACATTTGTAAAAGGTTTAAATGAGCATTTTACTCTTGGATCTATCTCTGAATATTTATTTTAACAATTACCATTATGAAGTCTATAATAATCTAATTCATTTTAAGGTCGTAAGTCACAGGGCTTTGTATATGAGCCTCTTAAAAGTCATCAACAGCTTCAGTTAATGATATGCATGTTTAAGTGATGAGGGAGAAAGTATATCAACTTTGCTTTAGCTTACTCTGAAATGCACGAAAAAAAATGAGATACCGAGAATGGTGGATAAGTATCTTATAAAGCAAAAGATAAAATAAATATATCCAAATATTAATTTTAGAATGGAGGTTGTACATTTATGATGTTCACTGTACAATTTTTTTGACTTTGTGTGTTTAAAATTTTCCATAGTAAACACTGGGAGAAAGAGGTCATCAATAAAAAGCAAAATAAAAAATTCACTCCCCCACAGTGTGCTAAAAAGTAAGTACACACAGTCCACACTGTAGCTCATTTACGTATGTGAAAAGATATATACCCTGTAAAGGTTACTTAGTGATTCTTCATTTAAAATACACCTTTTGCTTGTTTCAGGAATAGAATGGATACTACTTTCTTCACATTTTACTGGACAGTCAAAAAACTGAAAATGATTAAACCATACAAACTA